AAAAGTAATCAGCTTTTGTGAAGTCTTATAGGAACTACAGAATAATGTAACATTGCAATTACAAAATGTAGACAAATATCAAAAACCATTGTTTGTCATATTCGACCGGGCTTAATGTTTTTGGAATCTCAATCATTTACGACAATCAATAAAAATAAGCAATCTTTTGGTGCAAATATTTGAAACCCAGTAGCAAATAACCTGAGAAAAAAAAAAAAAGCTACATTTAATATTTTAATTTAAATGCTTATTTGCTATAGGGAGCGCGTGTCATTTCGTAATGCCATGTGTAGAAATTTCATGAAGGTTCAGAATCTAGAAGTTTCGGGTAACAAGTAGATAAACGAGTATTGCTATTAAAATGAGAGTTAAGTTAATTAGTGTGTATTAACGAATTCATCAATTCAGTGTCAAATAGAGAGTTGCCATTTTTAATCGATTGATTAGTGAGACAATTCTACAGGCAAGTTTAAATAAGTTACACGTACATTAATTTGAGCTGTTGAAACGGTGTTTGTGAAAGTTAAGCTTACAATTGAACATACACCTGTAGTACACGTTAAAGACGAAATAGTTTGTCGTCGTTACGAAGACTTGACATTATTTTATACTAAATACAGGAGAACCATCCCAACAATGAAACACGACACAATAGTAATTGTAATGAATAAAAGTATTGTTAATAGCAAGGTCAGCTTCTAAACTATCTTGGATATACCAAGTTATATATGCCACTAACATGTTTGAGCTACTAGTTTTATCTCTACGCTAAAATTAAAGTTCTATTTGCACTTGTACAAAGACCGAAATTTGTACAGTGAACTAGTCACCACTTACTGTAGTGTCTGAATTAAGATAGGTCATTTATGTAAACAGAAGTCAAATACAGCACTTTGAAAAAAAAGTTATTTTTCGGTAAGAGAGTAAAAAAAAATCTTATGATCCGATATTATGGGTAGAAACATTGTAATAATTAAAATCAGATCTTGTCTACTGTAAAAATAACTTTTGTTGTATTTTAATTAATTATCCTTATTGTACTTGAAAACAGCATTTCTAATAACTTTATATATTTTTTGCCACAAATTACGATAGTTTTATACGTTACTGTTAGATTAATAATTTTACCTCAAAAATATTTTTAAATGATTTCATGAAACTTAGATTTGTTTGTTTGAAGTTAAACACAAAGTCACACAATGATCTATCTGCGTTTTGCCCACCACGGTTATAAAGAACATGCGATATTTTCTGGTATGTATTGTGCAGTGCATTTTTACAGATTCTATACTGATTAAACCATATGTCAGTGTGATCGGGCTTTTCTAAACTAGACAGTCAGAATATTTTAGCATCTTGCTGCTTCTAGTATATGGATAACCTTATTGCATTAAGAGATTGGTCAACTAAGTGCATGATCATGCGAAGAAACGGAACCTCCCCCGATCCTTTTGCACAGCCTATATACAGTTTATCCAATAGAAGTGTAAATTTCTTCAGTGTGTCAAACTAAAGTTTTATATAAACCGATGGTTGAAGATAAAAATCTTACATTTATAGTCTACCCCTTTTTATAATATTACGGGTTTGGCAGTTCGAGTTATCGCACAAGCCAGTTTATACAATTTAGAACATAGTTTACTGCACGTAAATAACCTTAAAATCAGTTATATTATTTTATCCCCAATTAAATTACGAGCTACTAACTTTACGTGAACCGTTATATACCCACATACAAAAAGCACATGACACTGACGCGTTTATCTTTGTGTGGAAGATGGGAGACTTCGAAAGATTTTTCTTGATTTAATAGCAGTTGCTGTTTAATAAAAAGGTTTTCAACTTTTATTTCAATAATGCAAGTATTATTAAGTACTTCACAAAACGAAGTTCCGTAATACTTAATGTAACGAAGAATACGTTTCACAAGTAGTACTACAAAGGTCGTAAAGATATCACTTTACAACTATAGTTAATCACTTTTCAATTTAATACTAAGAAAGTTTCTGGATATGGTCTTTGCCTGGACATACCGAAACAAACAAGCTGTACCTTGATGATAATAATAATAATGAAAATAATAACGAGTGAGATACAAGTGAAAAAAAAAAAAATAACTGACAGTAGTAAACTTTTGTTGTATTCAAAGTCAATGAAAAGTGTTAATAAGGGTCATAATTAAAATTGATCAATAGAAATTAGAATCATACCCCACCCCCCACCCCCCTTCAGCTCTGTCATTGAATTCAAATATGAAAATTTTTATTTTCAGATGTTATAAATCGTTTAAGTGTTCATATTCAGCAATACAATCTTCACAGAGTTATGCCATTTCTATAATGTACGGGGCGTAGCCTGGAGGGAGGGGCACTCCAACGTTTCAAAGAAGGCTACAATGGCCGATATACTAAAGTTTGTACTTTTTAACAAGACACTTTAATTTCGAGTAAATCATTTAAACACTTGCGTAGAAGAAAAGGGGATTTTATTCAGTTTTTTTTTAAAGATTAACTGTATTACTGGCTACGTCCCTGTAACTACCAAAATTAACCAAAAAGCAAACTAAGAAAGTGAGGGAAGCTAGTTAGTGTTGTTTAGAGAGAGAAAGCTTTAGACTTCATCGTGGAGTCTAGTTCTTAACAACTTATAGGGTCGAAATATTCCCAGAAGATAGTACAATTAAGTTAACGAAAATACCTGGCATTAACAGATACCTGAAAGAGATTTTCAACCAGAGAAATGCACAGAACCTCATGTATTTTACTTTTATTTAATATTTGACATACTACAGCGAAATAACCATTTTTCATTCTTAAGCTTACATAAAACCGTTTTAATCATGTTTTAGTACGCCTTGCCCTTTAGAACACTTTTCTCCGTACGGTTTTCAGATCAGCACAGTTGTCGTGTGGGTTTTTATAGCAGCGAGTTCTCTAATCAAAATATAAATGGGGTTGGGAGAAGTTATAATTGAATTCGTGTAATCATAAATAATGTGTAATTGTAGATTATTTTAGCCTCTTCTGAAGCATTCGAGATAACATAAAAATTGTAAGTGCCATCTTCTTGTTCAAGTATAACTATTTTCAACTTTGAAGTAATTTTACTTTCCTTTTAAATACATTAGCAAAGAAACGTGCAGTACATTTAATTATCTTTATACTGCTGAAAATATTGTTATATTTCAATCGTGTAGTCTACAAAATCTCCCGTTAACCAATTTTTTTTAACCATTACTTAAAAAAATAATAATGAAGGTTCACTTATAAAATGCGATTCCTATTGATTACTATGCTTCGTATTTTGTGTGCTTCCCTTTCCTTCTGTAGGAAATTGATACAAGTATAACAATAAGTTTTAAAATGTTCATAAATACAAAAAAGAATGAATTACTAACTTACCTACCAACTTCAACGGATACGACAACAGCAACACAATCGACTTCTTTTGTCCGCTATTTGTACCTTCTTTTTCTTTTTAGTTATTCACATCTACTAACTACGCCACCACAGGAAATACGTCAAATATGTTGGGTGCTGCGAATGTGTGAATTATTTTCGTTTGTCTTCTCTGAATATCCACCCGCGACAAAGTTACGATACCTGGAACTTTTACCATTGGTCTAAAACATAAAAACAATTATTGTTATTAATAAGACCTTCTGAGTTAAAAATCGTGTATAATAATATGAAACTACACTATATCTGTAATATCCAGTGCCAATGAGACCTTTCCTCTAATACCAAGACTTAATGAGATCCCCCAGACACAGGAGTGTTTGAAATACTATTTATAGTAAAATACTGCTTGGTGTTAACTAGATTAGTCGGTTTAACGTAATTTTTCATCATTTTTTAAATTCTTTGTCGCAACACGTAAGAATTATGGTAAGAGTTATTTAACATTATACTCTTTGTTTTAACACCATATTTCATTACTTATCGTTTTCTTGAATTAACCTGCTCATTATTCTGAATAACAGGCGAAGCAGTAAGCTAGTCTTATTGATCCTGAAGAGGGTCAAGTAACCAGAGCTTCGGTCTTGGTCACTCGCTAGAAATGTACAAAAGGTTTGAATATTCGTCAGTGTATTCATTCAATAATTTCCATTGAAACAGACATTTTCTAAGTTATCAATAATTATTTCCCATCTGTAAATATTATGTGTGTGTG